GAACTGGAGGCAGCTGTGTAGAAGCTGTTTTCTCCTCTCCCAGCGCCATATTGTGGGAGAGCAGACGCATAGAATAAGTCTTAATTCCAGTAACTTAGTCTAGTCCGAGTTGCTCCCCACAGTTAAGGTCTTTTAAACTGATTGGATTCTTGTTGGTGTTTGTCCATGTATGTAGGCAGCAGGAAGAATGAACCTGTTGAGTCAGGCAGAGCCCTGAACTAAGCTCTTTTATGACCAGTGCTTCCCTGCCCTCTTCTCTGGCCTCCAGCTCTGTGCTAACTGAACCCTGAGGTCTTCCTCTGCCATCTGCCCCATAGTCTGCCCTCCATCCTGTCCTCCTCATTTCCCACTGCCAGCCCAGACAAGATGAGCTCCTCCCTCTCTCTCTCTCTCTCTCTCTCTCTCTCTCTCTTCAGTCCAGCTCCAGCCTGGTTTCCACTGGCCCTGGTTCCTATCTCTACTTGCTATTCCATCTCTTAGTGGATTTCCTATTTTCTAATCACTTGTATCCAGTAACAGCCTAAATTTCAAGTACAGTGAGGCCCTAAAACCCATTCAATATTATGAAATAAGCAGCATTATCTACTTTTTACAGATGAAATAAATAAAGCACAGAAAGGACTCTAGACAGCTATTCTTTACTCCTTAAAAACACATGAGAGCTGCCCTGCTGGAAATCTTCAAAGTTGATAAGTTGGGCCCTAAATAATGGAAATAAAATTTTGCTGGATAAAATTTGGGTCTTTTGTTTGTCATGTTTCAAATAACAGCTTTAGTGAAATGTAAGTCACATACCATAAAATGTTCTGATATTTTCTTGAGCTTTATCTTATTTATTTGAAATGCAGGGAGCTGGCGTTGTGGTGTAGCAGTTAAAGACACTGCTTGTGGTCCTGGCATCCCATATGGGCACCGGTTTGAATCCCAGCTGCTCCACTTCCAGTCCAGCTCTCTACTGTAGCCTGGGAAAGTGGTAGAGGATGGCCCAGGTCCTTGGGCCCCTGTGCCCATGTGGGAGACCAGGAAGAAGCTCCTGGCTCCTGGCTTTGGATTGGCACAGCTCCGGCCACTGTGGACGACTGGGGAGTGAACCAAGGGGTGGAAGACCTCTCTCTCTCTCTGCCTCTCCTCTCTCTGTGTAACTTTAACTTTCAAATAAATAAATAAATCTTTAAAAAAAGCAAAGAAGGAAGGAAGGAAGGAAGGAAGGAAGGAAGGAAGGAAGGAAGGAAGGAAGGAAGGAAGGAAATGCAGATTGACAGAGAGAGGGAGAGACACAACTTCCATATTCTGGCTCACTATGGCCACAACAGTCAAAGCTGGGCTGGGCAGAAGCCAGTAGCCAGGAATGCCAGGAACTCCATCTGGGTCTCCCCTGTGGGTAGCAGGGGCCCAAGTACTCGGAGCTGTCTTCCATATTGCTTTCCTAGGTACATTAGCAGGGAGCTGGGTCAGAAGTGGAGCAGCTGACACTCAGACCAGTGCTTGGATATGTGACACCACACACAGGCCCTAAAATGTGCTGTTTTAAAGTGTTTGAAGTTTTAGGGGTTGGGTGTTTGGCCTAGTGTTTAGAAGCCAGTTAGGACACCCATGACCCACATTAGAGTACCTGGGTATGAATCCCAACTCCTGACTCTAGCTTCCTTTTAACCCCTGGGAGGCAGCAAAAATGGTTCAAATGATTGGGCCCCTGATAATCACATGGAAAACCTGGATTGAGTTCTTGGCTGCAGCGTTGGCACCCCAGCTGAAGCAGATGGGAGTGCTCTCTGCTTCTCCAATAGATAAAAATAAGAGGTACTATGGAGTGTAGCTGGTAAAACTCCCACTGTGGCACCAGCATCCCATAAAGGTTCCAATTTGAGTCCCAGCTGCTCCGCTTCCAATCCATCTCTCAGCTAATGTGCCTGGGAAAACATTGGAAGATAGCTCAAGTGCTTGGGCCCCTATACACATATGGGGAAACCCAGAGGTAGCTCCTGGCTCCTGGCTGCTGGCTTCTGATCAGCCCAGCTCTGGCCATTGCAGCCATTTGGAGAGTGAACCAGCAGGTGGAAGACCTCTCTCTGTCTCTGTCTCTGTCTCTGTATCTCTAACTCTGCCTTTCAAAAAAATCTTTTAAAAATTAATAAAAACAATGTAAAACCATGTGTAATAATTGTTATTTTGGTCTATTCACAATGTTTTGCAATTATCAACATTATCTACATTTGTACTGTAGAGAAACACCATATCTATTGGCAATCCTTTCTGTTGCTCCCTCCTTCCAGCCCCTGGCATGCCCTGGTCTCTGTGGATATTCCTGTGCTGGCTGTTTCACATAAATGGCATCATACATGTGTAGTCCTTTGTGATGCTTCTTTCTCCCAGCATGTTTTCCAAATTCACCCAGATTGCAACATTATCAACATTTCACACTTTTATAGCTTATTAATATTCCATTGTATGGCTATGCCATATATTTATCCCTCCACCAGTTAATGAATATTTGGATTTTTCCCACTTGTGTATTTTGAACAATGTTATTATCAACATTTATGAACAAGTTTTTCTGTCAGCATATATTTTCATTTCTCCTAGGTATGCACCTAGGAGTGGAACTGCCAATTCATAAGGCAACTCTGCGTTTATCCTTTTGATGAACTGCCAATCTGTTTTCCAAAGTGGTTGTAGTATTTTATATTCTCACCACCAGTGTACAAGAGTTCCAGTGTCTCTACCTCCTTGGCAACACTTACTGTCCTTGTCCATCATTATTATAGTCATCCTGGTGGATGTGAAATGATATGTCCTTGTTTATACTTATAGACTTTATTTTCAAAGTACTTTTAGGTTTGCAGAAAAAGCATACAGTGCAAGGTTCGCACAAAACTCTCCCTCACCTTGTACACAGTTTGCCCTATTGTAAACATCTAGAATTACTGGAACACTTGTGTTACAATACCTGAACCAGTATTGAGGCATTATTATTAATCCATAGTTTACATACTGTTTACTCTTTGAGTTGTCCAGTTCTATGGGTTGTGACAGATGCATAATTTCATGTACGCAAAGTTATAGCACCATTATGGAATTGTTTTGCTGCTCCAAAAATTCCTTGTGTGCCATCTAGCCATTCTTCCCTCTCCCTCTCAAACCCTGGAAAGTACTCATGTTTTTTATGTCTCTAATTTTGCACTTTCCAGAATGTCATATAGTTAGAATCACACAGTAGGCAGGATTTTTGGACTGGTTTCTCAATTAGCCATGTGCACTCACAGTTATTCCATGACTTTTCATGGCTTGATATCACATTCTTTTCATCATCACTGAATAAAATTCCAGCATGTGAGTAGCTGACAGATGTGCCATGGTCTGTTCAGCCATTCACCTAGTAAACACATCTGGGTTCCTTTCAAGTTTTGACAATTATGAATACAGTAGTTATAAACACTCATATGCAGGTTTTTGTGTGGACACAGAAGACCTAAGAGCACAACTGCTAGATTATGTAGAACTATGCTACTGGTAAACCATCTTTTAAAATGGCGTACTATATTTCATTCCCACCGGCAGTGGATGAGAGTTCCTGTGGCTCTTCATCCTCACAGCACTGGCCTTGCCAGGGCTTTAGATTTTGGCCACTTTAACAGGTGTGCGGTGGCGTGTCATGTTCTTTTAACTGGCAATTCCCTAAAAACATGTGCTGTTGAGCATCTTTCCATATACTTATTTGTCATCCATATATACTTCTTGGTGAGCTATCTGTTCAGGACAGTCTTTTGTGCATATTATAATTGCTTTGTTCTATTGTTGAGTTTTTGTTTTCTTTTTTGAAGATTTACTTTATTTGAAAGGCAGAGTTACAGAGAAAGAGAGAGAGGGAGAGAGAGATCTTCCATCTGCTGGTTCACTCCCCAAAAGGCCTCAATGGCCAGAGTTGGACTGGTCTGAAGCCAGGGGCCAAGATCTTGTTCTGGGTCTCCCACATGGATATCCGGGTCCAAGCACTTGGGCCATCCTCCACTGCTTTCCCAGACTCATTATCAGGGATCTGGAGCAGAAGTGGAGCATCCATGACTTGAACCAGCACCCATATAGGATGGCAACACTGCAAGCAGCAGCTTTACCCTCAAGGCCATGATGCTGGCCTCCCTGTTGTTGAGTTTTAAGAGATCTTTATAAATTTTGAACAAAAGTCCTTTATCATACAAGTGTTTTGCAAATATTTTCTGCAAGTCTGTTAGTCTTTGCATTCTCCTAACAGTGTCTTTCACAGAACAGATGTTTTAATTTTAATATAGCCCATAATATTAACTTTTTTCTGTTAATGGATTGTGCTTTTGGTGTTGTATCTAAACAAAGACAAAATTAACAAAGTTGCCTAGATTCTCTCTTCTGTTACCTTCTAGAAGTTTTATAGTTTTGCATTTTACATTTAGATCTATGAAACATTTTGAGTTAATTTCTGCAAAAGACGTCAGGTCTCTGTCTACACTCACAGTTTTGCCTTGGTGTTCAGTTCTTCCAGAGCCATCTGCTGAAAAGACAGCTGCTTTCCCACTACATTGCCTTTGTTCCTTATCAAGGATCTGTTGGTTATATTCAGGTGGATCTGCTTCTTGGCTCTATTCTGTTCCACTGACCCATCTGTTTTCTTGCCAATATCATACTATCTTCATTACTGTAGCTTTGTAGTAAATTTGATTTCTATTTATTTTATTTTATAAGACATAGAAATAGAGAGAGATCTATTTGCTGGTTTACTCCCCAATGCCCAAAACAGCCAGGGGTGGCCCAAGATGAGGCCAAGAGCCAGGAATTCCATCCGCGTCTCCAATGTGGGTGGCAGCATATTAGGGCCATTACCTGCTACCCATGTCGATGCACATTAGCAGGACGCTAGAATCAGGCACAGTCTCAGGATTTGAATCCAAGCACTCTCATATGGGATGGGGGCTTCCCAAGCAGTGGCTTAACTGCTCTGGCAAATCCTCTCCCCCGTTAGTGAGCTTTGCAATTGGGTACCATCAATCCTCTGTTATTTGTTCTTATTCAATACTGTATTGGCTATTCTGGGTCTTCAGCTTTTCCATATGAACTAAAGGATCAGTTTGTCCACAGCTATAGATAACTTGCTGGCTTCTCTTATTAGTTCTATGAGTTTTCTGTAGGAAGCACACTAATTTTCTGTATATTTTTAAAGTAATCATTAAGAATGGGGAAAACTCCATTAAAATTGCAAGCAAACTGAACAAATAAGCCCAGTTTTATGGCAAATGAATAATATTCTACCAGGAAGGTAAAAAAATAAAATAAAAAGAGAACTAATCTAAATAACTGCTGAACATGTCATTTGAATATATTCTCAATTGAGTAGCAGGGGAAAACAAAATAAATCCTGACCTCTTTTTAGGTTTATTGACACTGTATGAATAAAGCAATAGGAAATTAGTCTAAAGGTACAATAGAATTTAGCAAATAAATAAGCAGTTGTTGTCAGCCAAGTTACACACAGTAGAGGAAAAAAGTAGACACAGCTATGGAGTAGGGCAACACAAGGAAAAAAAGAACCCTACAGGAATGTGAGGGGATCAAAAATCCCAGCAGGAACTCATGATTTCTAATGCATTTTATCCTCACACATATTTGCCCATATACAGGGAGTCATATGGATACATACATGTATTCTAACTCTGATTCCTGAAAGGCCAAGGAAAGAAATATACCCCCATTAGTACAACTGGCAGCCAAATCTTGGTCTCTAATGCCCTTCCAATAAAAAAAATAGCCAAGGCTCTTCGGAGAAATGGTTGATTCCAGGGCTGTGGCAAGGAAGATACAAGATGAGCTTAGAATATCTTGTTATGCCAGAAATTGAAGAAGTACCATATATATATAATGGTGCTTGGTTATATATGGTACTTATATATGGTGTATATGTATATATATATATATATGTGGTACTTTGATATATACGGTACTTATATATATGGTATGTGTGTGTATATGTGTGTGTCTCTCTCTATATGTGTGTGTGTGTATGTGTGTGTGTGTATATATATATATATATATATATGGTACTACCTGCCACCCACATGGGACATCCAGATGAAGTATTATAGCGTGACAAAAGGACAAAGGAGCCAGTTTGAAGAGGCTCTCAATGACCAAATCTGGAACAATATGAACACCACAATAATGAATAGTAATAAATTATAAGCCAATGAAAAAATAACAATCTTTTTGTCATGAAATATCAAGACAGGTTGAGGAACTATACCAGACTAAAGAAGACCAAAGAAACATGATAAATAAATATATGACTTCAAAATGGATCTGTACTGAAGGAAAAATTATGCCCCAGAAGAGATTACTGAATCATTTACCAAAATTGGAATACAGATGGTGGATAATCTAACTCATAAGGTATCATTGTTAAACTTCTTGAAGTTGCTAATTCTAGGGTAGTTATTTAATGGAATATGCATATTTTTAGAAAATACACTTTGAAGATTTAGAGCTACTGACGCATGTTGTGTGTAACTTACTCTCAATGATGTAACAATTTGTATATATTACACATCTCAGTGTGAATGCAAATGATAAAGCAAATAGGACCATTGGTAAGCCTGGGGAAAGGGTATACTACAACCTCTCTGTGAGCTTGGAGTTTTCCAAATAAAAGATTTTTAAAACAGTGTTTAGCATGCACAAAAAAATTAAGGACAATACAGCAGGTATTTTGAAAGCAGAAGGAATGATGATGTCAAATATTTTAAAAGGCTGTTGTGGAAGGAGGATTGAGACTTCGGATGTGGCTAACCTTATTTTGTGTCAGCCTGCTTTCTGTAATAATATTACAGCACATACAAGTGTTCATGGCTAGAATAGGAGGCAGGAGTTTTTAAACATTAAAGAGTCATTAGGACCATCCGGCACAGAGAGGCACAAAATCACTCAATTCTGAAGGCTTGTCAGGCAGCATAGTGAGTGAAAGCAGTTGGGTGTAGGAACATGAGAAATGGTGGAAACTTGAGAGCAGTGTCTTCTCCAAAGGCTTTCAAATGCAACTAAAGACAAAACTACAAAATTGCATTGCCACCCACTGGCCTTGTCAAGACTGGGAGTAGCTAGCTGTGACCTCCAGACCACTCCCCATTATCTGACCCTCCTCTTCTGTTCACGTTACAGACAGTAGAAGTACAGAAAGTCACAAAACACAGTACATAACAACATTAAAGGTGTAATGTGTGCATATATATCAAAAACCACACCATTTTTAATGAGAGAAATAATATCCACACATTTGTACTTCTGTACAATTTGGGGTAATATATAATTTTAAGCTGTTTACAAATAACATGTAATGCTTCAAATATTACATAAGGTTGATAATACATTTCTAGCAGAAATAAATATATTGCACTTAAAAAGAACTTCATTAGATGTTACTTCATAGTATTAGGCTTATAACTTCTTTCTTCATAAAACATTTCCCATGCCCTTCCCCCACCCTAGCACACACATTTCCTTACAGTGACTGTTCTCACGCAATCCATTAAGCAAAGGAACACAGCAAACAACAGAACTGTGAGAGAGTCTACTACGCAGGCTACATCCAAGTTTAGCCTTTAGGAAATAAATTCTTTTAGATCTCTGAAAACTTAAAAAGCAAAACCGTAAATACGTTATTTTAATGTACCAAAAGTAAAATACAACAAACTGTATTTTTTGTCTGTATGTAGGATTATTTCACAAAAATGTTTTTATTTCTTATTATAAAGATACTTGGTTTAAAAACAGGAGGGGCTGGCTGGCGCCACGGCTCAATAGGCTAATTCTCTGCCTTGCGGTGCTGGCACAGTGGGTTCTAGTCCCGGTCGGGGCGCCGGATTCTGTCCCGGTTGCCCCTCTTCCAGGCCAGCCCTCTGCTATGGCCCGGGAGTGCAGTGGAGGATGGCCCAAGTCCTTGGGCACTGCACCCACATGGGAGACCAGGAGAAGCACCTGGCTCCTGCCTTCAGATCAGCGCGATGTGTCAGCGCTGGCCGCGGCGGCCATTGGAGGGTAAACCAACGGCAAAGGAAGACCTTTCTCTCTGTCTCTCTCACTGTCCACTCTGCTGTCAAAAATTAAAAAAAAAATTAAAAAAAAAAAACAGGAGGGGTTAAAATTACTTGAGAGAGAACAGAGAAAGAAATCTAGAAGGTACTCAAGGATTATTTGCCTGGGCAATTTTTATCCGTGAATCTTTGCATATTCAAGCATGCTGAAGAAAGATAATCATTTTGGAATATTTTATAATTGGCATGGAATAGTAAGTAATACAGAAAGAGTTTTATGGTTTTGTAATGTTTTAAGAGTTTACAGCCTTCCTGTTGCTTACTTGAAAAAATTACATTCTAAAATAATATAAAAACGTGTTATAAAACCTATCTTCCTCCCAGACTATTTAAAGGAGCAAGCTGAAAATCTTATCTTCTTGTCCGTAGTGCTTTGTCTAAATTTAGGTGACGGGAGCTGGCATTTGTGGCACAGCAGGTTATGTCACAGCTTGTGACACAGTCATCCCATATCAGAGTGTTGGTTCAAGTCCTGGCTGCTCTGCTTCTGATCTAGCTCTCTGGGAAGGCAGTGGAAGATGGTCCAAGTACTTGGGCTTCTGCTACCCATGAGGGAAATCAGGATGAAGTTCCTGGCTCCTGACTTTAGCTTGGCCCAACCCTGGCTATGGTGCCATTTGGGGGATGAACCAACAGATGGAATATCTTTCTCTGTCTCACCCTCTCTCCCTATCATTCTACCTTTCAAATAAATCTTAAAAAGAAATTAGGTGACAGTATTGTTTTGTTTGTAATAATTATAAATTCCCTAAATGTTTAATAAGGAAAACAGTTTTCTTTGCACAGTTAATGGAAGGTTTTGATAAAATGTTGCTTTTACCTACATTATGTTACTTTGCACATTATATAATTGAATTTTTAAAAATTGTTAGTTTCTGAGTCATAACTAAACTTGACTGCATAGTTAATGGGATGTCAAGTCATTCCATCTACTTTATTTGAAGGTGATTTTTCTCAATATAATTCGCTTACACATTCTTACAGGAGGAGAGTCTGAAAGGGTCATGTGAAGTACAGAAATGGGTTACACATCCTGAAATCCACGTAGGCGACAAGTATGCTTTCCTTCTGGTATCTCTTGGGTTTTTCAGGGGCTTCCTCTTTCTTTTTCTGTTTTATTTTTGGGCGGGAGGCAGCGGGAGTGGGGGTGGTGTTTTCATAACCAGAGAAGCAAAGCAACAGAAATATGAATAAGGGTGGATGAGAGTAGACCCTGGAATGCTCCAGAAGTCAATGTAACTACTACTATAGAATAACCCTACACAGAGGCAGGTCAGGAACAATTGTCTGGAAGCTTCTTAACATCTCTATTCTGTGCACACCTGCTAGAAATGGCAGTAGGCCTTCCAGACAAGATATTATTTTTACAAACTCAAAAGGAAGAGGAATGCAATTTAAGCTCATTAATCTAGACCTTGTTACTTGATAATTTGTGGTATGTTAGACACAAACTGGATGTGTTTATCTATGTCCTGCTAACAGTAGACAGAAGAGGGAAGATTTGCTTAATAAGTAAAAAAAGATTATTGAATTTGCTCAGAATTACTGATAAACGTTTTAAAAACAAATTACAAACACAGAACCTACCAAGTTACAAATTACTTCCTTAAGATGAGATACAGCAAGTCTGGCAGAACTTAGCAGCACTGCACATTAGCCATGTTTTTTGCTACTATAATGAGTATACTTACGTAGAAAACTCTGAATTTATTCCAGATATAACTTATGGTCTCTACTACTCAATTGGTTTTCTCATTTAATACTTTAATTGTAGTTACTTTTGGTAGAATATACTTTAGAATTTTAAATATTAAATTCCTAGTGGGTTAATAAGAATCATCAGCCAGAATAGCTCAGAGAGGCCTGAGCTGGTTAACTTCCTACCCCTTAGCTCCTATGGCTTGTGACTCCGATTAGGTTAAGCTCCATTTCATTTATGCTTCTTTGCTCTGGTTTAAATAATACTAACATGCCATGATCGTATAGTGGTTAGTATTCTGCGCTGTGCCATAAATAATACTAACACTTTGAAAATATATCCAATTTAGAATTTCAGGTGTGACCTTCCAAGGGCATGCTTTTATCTCTTATTTGTTGCTTTTCTGTAAGCACTCTACTTACTTTTAGTTGAATGCAGTCAGGAAATACCAGTGTAAGACCATATTTAGCCCCAATATAAAAACGTACTTTGAGATACAAAGATTAGTTGAAATGTCAAAATAGTATTAAAATAATTCTTTCATTCTCTGAAAAGAAGATTTAGAGATTCACTTTAGTAGACCAGTAATTTATCAAAGTATTGAGTAGCACTGTGTAAAATAACATCTTTTGTTATTCCTGCTTTAAGCAGCAGTACTCAGCATTCAAAGGAGCACTGGCCAACTATTCTATAAATATCTATGGATATTTATCTTAAATATTAATCATAACTGGTTTTTTTTTAAAGAAATGCCAATCCTTACTTTGTTTGAAAGCAAAGAACCTGTGGATAGTACAGAATAACATGCAAGAAGTTAGAAATTAAGCTACAATGTCAGTCACAGGACTTCGAGATGCCTTATAATAGCACGTGCTTTTTTGTAAGTAAACCTTGGGAATCAGCAAAGAATGGTGAGTACAAAACCTAGTGGCATCATATAGACAGGCTGTGCCATGGAGGCCCTGCTTCCTAGGCTGGAAATGCCCAAGAAAGCCATTTGAGATGGGAAAGGCTAACATTAAAACAACCAAATAGAATCCCAGAGGAGTCTGATGTGATAAGTATATTGCATTTACCCTCAAATACACTTCTACTGTCAGTAGCAATACTTCCCATCTCTTTTAACAGATTCAATATTTTTGCACTAAGAACAGAGTAGAATGAAAATTACATACCAAAATTGGATTAAATTAAAATAGAGTTTTGGGGAAATTTGCTAAGAAGACAGGGTCACATCCCTGTAGCTAGAATGCACTATATCTAAAGTTGAAAGACTACTCACTCCATTACATTTCTGTTACTGGGAAAATGAACTGTTGCAAAATGCTAAATGTGTTAGCCTGACTATAAATGCATAGACATATATTGCTCAAAACAACATGCAGGTTATACAAAACAAATATAATTAATTACTATTATGTACATTAAAGAAAGGCTTTAGAAGACAGAGTTGAAAATAAAGTAGATGGAGGCATGAGATGGACTTACAAGAACTGCCAATGTTTTGGTTTGGGAGTCATCGAGATAAAATGCAATTTTTTCGTATTATAGACTTAGAAAAGTGATACAGGAGCAGTAAGTATAACATGGTAAGAAAAAGGACCAGTGACCAGATACATGGGCACATCAATTGTCCTGAGCCCATCTTGGCTATGTGGACATTTTGAATGGTCATTCTCAAATCCCTGTCAATCAGTGACAGCAGCAACAAAGCAGATTTACTGAAAAGGAGAATTTCACCCAAGGCATTTTAACACCCATGAGGTCTCCCAAAGCTGACATGAAAACAAAAGGGCCTTTGACACCCACAGCAGAAAAATTGCTTCCCAAACAGGACAACCATCTTATTGCAGCTGTAGGTGAAAGAAAGCCTCAAGGATCATCTCACACAGCTTTGGAGTATCTGTCAGTTAAAAAAAAGTCTCTACTTAGAATGCAGCCTAGAAAAAGCAAATCTTAGTTTTACAATGTAACAATGGCTCCAAAATCATATATGGACCATTTTCTTACATAAATGACAAGTCACTGCACGATTGAGAATCAGAAGGAAGAATACAAGACTGGAAACTGATCTTGTCAGGTACTGGCCCTTCAATATTGCAAAAAGAACTGGGTGAAGGCATCACCATATATTCATCCACACAACAGGATGCATTAGCAGTATCTCAGCTCCTTCCTCCAGCAAACTAACACAGAGGAAAACTAAACATGCTTAACCTACAGCACTATAGATATTTCTCTATTGGCTCCCGGTTTCTACAGAGAGAAATTGACTTAAGTTAGGCATTATGGTCAGAATGCTACGTAGTATTGCCTCTTTGAAGATTCTTTTAGCCTGTGGAAAGCAGAAAGAACACCTATACACATTGGTTTTATACATTACTGCATTGACACAGCATTGCCCACCACTAAGAATGATGCACCTTAAGAGTCATCTGCCTTATGTTATGAAAATTCCTGGATAGACTGATATCCTGTTAGTTGCAGGACTCAGGCTGGTAAGAAATTTTACATGATTTTCTCCTGAACCCAGCAACTGTCCCGCAACTATAGATGAACCCCGGTCCATGGTACATGCCCTTAGCAGTAAGGGTTGAGTCCAGCTCTCCTCTTTAATAGGTCCCAGGTCTCCTGGAGAGCCCCTGCTCCAATGCCCCGCCTCCTGCCCACCCAACCCTGCCCTAGAATTCCATACCCATTTGTACATTCTGGATCTGGAGTCTCCCATTTTTTAGAAGAGTCATACAAAGGGCGTCATCACAGCAGAGGAATGGCGCAGTCCTTGGATGGCAGCGTAGGGCCCTTGCTGAAAGTAGTGATGGTATCGTGGCATGTGGAATGAAGGGAAAGTGGGGCCACTCCCTTGCATGGAAGTGGCAATGGCCGAGGGGGTCAGAGGCATCCCTAGGCGGCTATATGGTGGCAGAGAACCTTGGATGGGGTGAGGAATGGGAGTCGCTATGGACGCTGTACTGGTACCAAGAGCAGTCAGGGACTGTGGGTGCTGAAATCCAGGAAAACTGGAAGAAGATGATACCCAGGAACTGAGAGACAAATTATCAGATGTTGTGAATGCTGACCCTGAAAGGCAAAACACTGGTTAGACTGAAAGCACTATTTCAATATGCAGATCAAGAATTATCTGTAAGATCAATTTATTTTTAAAAATACATAATACTGCAGTTTTAAGACTAAACACAGCTGAGAATTGCCACGAGGCAAATCTACCTTTCTAGATAAGATTTTACTTATTCCCTGCATGGAAGAGAAAATGTACTAAATATAAAGAGACCTAACTCATTAGATGGCTGATAAATTCCCAAACACCAGGACCATACCAGCAGGTAACAACTCCCATTTTAAAAAAGCTGCAAATAGTGTGCATTTGTCCTAACTTCTGTGGCCTCTCCATAAGGAAGGCTGGATGGGTAGGTCTCAACAGAGCTACCCCGTTTCCAAAGCCAAGAACCTACAAAAGTGTATCTCCCTGCATCACAGCATCTAGAAGTTTAGAGGAGAATTGGCACTGATTTCTCCAGTGCATAATCACCAGCGTCACACTTGGACTGATTTGTAAGAGGTGTCTTCTGCTTTCACTGATTATGGCTTCTATGTTATAGACAGGAAACAGAGCAGAGGGTTCTCTCCCCATAGGAACATCCCTGTTCCCAGGAGAGGGCACCTCTGGCCTTGTTTCTCTGCACTGGCCTACTCCCTGAGCCTTTGCAACAAAGAAACTTTGTTCACCTTCCACTCTGCTCTGGGGCCTCTGACTCTGCAAGATGCCCTTCACTAGGGCAATCTTTCTTTAAAAGCAGTTTCCACTCTGGACTTTGATCCTAGAAAGATATTCCTGATGCAGGTGGAAAAGTTTCTCTAATATTTAGATTCTAGAATCGAGGAACAAGACGACTAAGGGGCCGCGCCCAGGTTTAATGGCTCTTTGGTTACAGATCACAGACAAGCACCTCCTGACTTCTGACTCAGAGGCTCATAGTCTTTGCACTGGAAAACAAACCACAGGAAACCTCCAGTCAGTGGAGTCTCTCACCACTCACAGGCAAATAGAGACATCTAAAGACCAGCAGTAGGCTGTCCACTCCTGAGATCCTTTCTGGACAGTATGGACCCTGAGGACTAGACATCTCATAAGCTCCCCCGTCGCCTTCCCCTGTAGGTTCTGCAGCCCTGGAAGCGGTCTCACCTCGATTCTGGGTTGCCTGGTTCTCATCCCCCAGGACATCCTCTTCTCCTCCATAGGTGCGGATGGGTGAGCGGGCATAGGAATGCTTCTGAATCAGGCTCTCCACACTTTCCCTGGGGAACAAAGAAACCCATCGTGAGTTCACTACAGTAATCTTAAGGATCACTCATTAGTCAGTAAATCATGTTCTCAGCCAAAAGGAAACCATTCCAGAGAAAGAGGACATTCAAAACCTGCAGAGCTGTCCTTGGTATCCAACGGGAATGATTTCAGGGACCCCACAGATAACAAAATCATCAGATGCTCAAGCACTTTATATAAAATTGTGTGATGTTTGCATACAATCTGTACACATTCTCTCCCATATATTTTGAATCATACTGAGATAACATAATGGCTAATATACAATGTAAATGCTGTGTAAATAGTTGCTAGACTGTATTATTTAGAGTAAAATGATGTGAAAAAAAATCCGTATTTGTTCAGGTAAAAAATGTTTTATTCAAACATTTCCAATCCACACAGTTGGTTGACTCTGCAGGCACTGCGGAGGAGGACTTCTCTATGACACAGTGCTGGGGAGAGGGCTCCTCAGACATGACACAAGCAAGCCTAAGTGTATAGGGTAAGGACAATCCCCTTAAATACCATAACGTGAAGGCCAAAGAGGTAAACAAGGAGCTATGAAACCTGACCAGAGAAATATGGAATTGAATGATGTAAAAAGCCCACGAGTGAATGAATTTACCATGTGAAGTTGCAGTGAATCTTCCTAGTGGCTTCATCAGCTAATGAATATAATGTAAATACTTCTGCCAGCTGCACTGATTCAACAGCTGATGAAATGCTGGCAAAAATTTCAAGTTATCGTTTCATTAGGATCGATGTTCATTAACAAACCAAACAGATGCATAAAGTATATGACAATGTTGATAATTTGGATAATGGACAGCCTATCTTTGTTGCTCTAAGAATGAAAATTACAGAAAACCCATAAAGAAAATATAAATGGCCATTTAGGGATTTAGGCCCCCAGATACACTTGTACATGTCTTCGTAGATTGCTTCCTTTTATAATATAATCTATAAACCAAAGAGTAAGGTTAACTATAAAAACCAAAATTGGTTTGGTATTATACTGTTTGACCTACTGCTATAAAAAAAAAGGAAAAGGCAGCAAGCTTTTAGCCAAATAATGTTTTTGCCAAAGTGTATATTGGTAACAGTTCTCAAAGTATACGTTTCCAAAATAGGTGTGACCTAAAGATCAATGCTGCATTATCTACTAACGGACAAAAATTGGATATAAAACAAATTGTGCTAAATGAGAAAGGACAAACTACACACCAAATTTCATATTGAGGTAAGAATTTAAAAAGCAAATAAAATGTCATAAAAATGTTTCAAAATGTAACACCTGTCAATATTTCATGCAGACACACAGACTTCATGTGTAGGAAAAAAATACAATTCATACTTAATTTGGTATACATTTAAAGTCAAGCAATTTATCATAATATATAGCATGAGTATGAATACTTGAGTATTCCTAAAAGAAAAATTAGTACTAGCAACTATTGAAATTACATCTTTATTCCCAAGAGACTTTAAAATAAATACACAATACACTTCACATAGTCAAAATTAAAGAGATCAGGTAAATTCAGATCCAATGGATTAACATAGAGCTGTTAAAAGGAATGAGTTCATTCAACATTTATTGATATGGAATAATCACCAAGATACCAGCACAGTAAGAAAGAAAAGGTACAGAAGAATACATAAAGTTATGCTACTGTCTGAATTTAAGACAAAGAATATGTAGGTTTGTATATGCCTGTATATACCTGTATGTGCATGGAAAGCCTTCAAAAAGTTCATCTGTCATGCACATATGAAAAAAACAATGCAAGGACTACAAAGTTTTTTGTATAACAAACTTATCTTTTAATTCAAATTTTTCATGAAATTTTTGAAGTACTCTCATATTTCCAGAACATTCCTGATTCCAGGACAAGAAACTGCTTAGAAAATTTGCCTCTGCATGGTGGAAACTAATGAGCTGAGAGATTAGAGTAATGGTTACCATACATATCTGTACATTTGAGTCACCTGTGGAACTGTATGTTCTGATGACTGGAACTCTTTATCAATATAAAATGATCTACCCTATCCCTAGTAACATTCTTTGCTCTGAAATCTTCTTTAATATTAATATAGCCACTTCATTTTTCCTTTCATTAGTGTTGTCATGATATACTTTTTAAAAAATGCATTACTTTCAACTGTGACTTTTAAAATTAAGTGTCTATCTTTGTACTTATATATTTATGGCACCACAAAAGACAGAAAAAGAGAGAACAGAGCACTCCAACCTACTGGTCCACTCCTCCAATGCCCACAACGGCCAGGGCTGGGGTGGGGCTGATGCCAAGAGCCAGCAACTCTATGCAGGTCTCCCTCATGGGTGGCAGGAGCCCGGTTACTTGAGCCATTATGGCTACCTCCCAAGGTCTGGAGATGGGTATAATACCCAGGTATTCCAATGTCAGATGTAGGTATCTTAACCAGTATGTTGGCTATTATGCCGAACACCCATCACTTGTATCTTTACAGATAAATTATGGTCCTTATAGGCATCATATATTCTGCATTACTTTTTAGCTCACATTGAAAACGTCTGCCTTTTAATTGAGAACTATACTGCATTGACATTTGATGTGAATACTGATATGGTTATGTTGAAGTCTGCCATCTTGCTATTTGTACCATCTATTCTCTGTTATCTTTTTCCTCATTTTTGCCTAATTTAGGATTAATTTTCCTATGAGTCCAATACATATTCTTTGTTGGTTTGTTAGCTATCACTTTCTTTGGCTATTTTTGTGGATCCTTTAGCACTTACAGCAAATATCTTTTACTTATCACAATCTACCATCAAATGATGATATACCTTTCAAGTGTAAGACCCTAACAATATGAAAGTACTACAAAAAGTTGATAGAAAATACAACTAAAAAGATGTTTATTTTGCATAAAAATTCAATCTATGGATAATTTTTCATAATACAGATTTTTCCATAAGCTTTTTGAAGATTCCTCATCTTTGACTACTTAATTAACTTTTTTAAAGATTTAAATAGTCTGAAATATTTTTCATCTTTCTTTTTGGTACTTTATTTTTTTAAAAGATTTATTTATTTATTTGAAAGGCAGAATTACAAAGAAGCAGAGGCAGCGAGAGAGAGAGTTCTTCCATCTGCTGGTTCGCTCCCCAGATGGCTGCAACAGCTGGAGCTGGGGCAATCCTCAGCCAGAAGCCAGGAGCTTCTTCTGGGTCTCCCATGCAGGTGCAGGAGCCTAAGGACTTGAGCCATCTTCCACTGCTTTCCCAGGCCACAGCAGGGAGCTGGATCAGAAATGGAGCAGTTGGGGCTCAAACCATACAGGATGTTGGCACTGTAGGTGGCAGCTTTACCTGCTATGCCACAGCACCGGCCCCTCTTTTGGTACTTTAAAATGTTATTCCACGGGGCCTGCAGCCCGCAGTGTGGTGTGGAGGGTAAAACCACCATCTGCAGTGCCAGCATCCCATATGTGCTCTAGTTTGAGTCCCAATGCTGCACTTCCAATCCAGCTCTCTGCTATGGCCTGGGCTGGGAGGATCTGAAGCCAGGAGCCAGGAGCTTCTTCCAGGTCTCCCGTATGGGTGCAGGGGCCCAAGGACTTGGGCCATCTTCTACTGCTTTCCCAGGCCATAGCAGAGAGCTGGATCAGAAGTGGAGCAGCAGGGATTTGAATTTATGCCACATGGGATGCTGGCACTGCAGGCAATGGCTTTACTCGTTAACACCACAGTGCCGGCCCAGCCACTTTTAATATTTTCTTTTTATCCTGGTTTAGAGCTATTTGATTATGATATGACTTGGTAGTATTTCTTCATTCTTTTTGTGTTTGAGTTTGTTGAGCCTCTTTGAATTATGTGTTTACAGTTGCAATTAAACTGGAACAGTTTTGCACATATTTCTTCAAATACATCTCTTCTCCAATGCCTCAATCACCTTACAGGGTCTCCAATTGCTCAAATAATAGAAGGCATATTGAAGTTTTCCCACATTTCACTGATGCTCTTGTTATTTTTAAAAATTTATCTTCACTTTGTTTCATGTTGAATACTTTTTATCACTATATCTTCAAGTTTACTAAGCTTTGCATCTACAATGTCTAATATGCCAATAATTTCATTCTATGTATTTTTCATTGTGTTTCTTAGAGTTTTCACCTACAGAACATTTAGTTCTTTCATGCTGCTACTCAATTTACAAATATAAGGAATACATTCATTATAACTGTTTGAATGTCTTTGTTGATTATAATATCTATGTCAGCTGCAAGTTATTTTCAATAGATCAACTTCTCATACAGGTCATATTTTTCTACAGGTGATGGAAGTTGTTGTATTCCTAAAAATATTCTTGAGCTATATTTTGGCATTTAGTTATTTGGTAACAGTTTCTTCCTTTTGAGTTTCTCTTTTGAGATATGTTAGGCAGGATGGGAACACTGTCCAGTCGAAGGCTATTTTTATATCTATTACAGATATAAAAACCTTGTGGGTACTCTACCACATGCACTGTAAAATAAAAGTTTTCCAGCCCATCTGGCTGGAACAGGCTCATTTCCATTCTTGGGTGAGCACTACACATTATTTATTCTCATCTTTTCCACTGCTTCCCTCCCCAGACCCATTCTGCAGCCTTCTGGTAGTTTCTTTACATGCATGTACTAATCGAGTCTCAGCTGAACACTCACAAGGGGCCTTCTCTTTCCAGGCAGCTCTCTGTTCTCCTGTAGTGTGTCCTATGAATTGTCACTCTTTGGGTTTTCTCAGACACTCAGGTCTGACTTCTCAGCATAAGAAGTCAACCAGGTTCTGCCTGTATTTACCCCTTCTCTGGCCAAGATCTAGACACTCTCTTGGGTGAGACCCTGGGGCCATCACAGAACTGACCTCATGTGTTTCCCAACCTCAGAGATTACTGCCCTTTGTATGCTCATGTACAATTACAAGAATTTTTGTAACTTTTTCTTGTTCCTTCTTTGTTTTAGGAAAGAGGATATGTTTGATCCTTGTTGCTTTACTTTTACCCAATTTTATAACACTTCCAAAGCCCAGCTACACTCACAAGCCAATTAATTCTTAACCTCTGAGATGTGACATGAGCTTTAATACTTGTTAAAGCTCCAGGATGATTCCAAAGGGCCGACAAGTTTAGGCATGAGGGACGGGGGGGGGAGGGGTATTGTAGGTACTTCTCACCATATACTCATCTGTACCTTTTGAATTTGGGATGTATGTAGTTTTTAATCTAAATCAATTATAAAATACCATGAGACTATGATAATTACCAATGAACAAAAAGAGTTTCTGGTCTCACACTGGTACTTTGGGAACCTATTATAATGAGTTAATAAAAATTACAATTTTGGGGGGTCAGTGTTATGGTGCAGTGGGTTAAACTGCTGCTTGGGATGCCAGTGTCCCATATCAGAGTGCCCAGAATGGAGTCCTGCCTCTGCTTCCAGTTTACTGCTGGAATGTGTCTGAAAAGCAGCAAATGATGTTCCACATACTTGGGTTCCTGCCACCCACACGGGCTACCTGGATGCAGTTCCCGGCCCCTGGTTTCAGCTGGGTCCAGACCAAGCTGTCACAAATGTTTGGGGAGTAAATCAGAAGATAGAAGAGATCTCTCCTTCTCTCTTTCTCTCTCTCTCTCATCTCTCCCCCTCTCTGTCACTCTACCTTTCAAATATATAAATCTGTTTAAGGGGCCAGTGCTGTAGCATAGAGAGTAAAGCTGCCACGTGCAGTGCCAGCATCCCATATGGGTGCTGGTTCGAGTCCAGATTGCTCCTCTTCCAATCCAGCTCTCTGCTATGGCCTGGGAAAGCAGTAGAAGATGGCCCAAATGCTTGGGCCCCTGCACCCATATGGGAGAACCAGAAGAAGCTCCTGCCTCCTGGATTCACTCAGCTCTGGCCATTGCAGCCATTTAGGAAATGAATCAGTGGATGGAAGATACAGACTCTCTCTTTCTGCCTCTGTGTGGAAGGAAGGAAGGAAGGAAGGAAGGAAGGAAGGAAGGAAGGAAGGAAGGAAGGAAGGAAGGAAGGAAGGGAGGGAAAGAAAAGGAAAGAGAGAGAAGGAAGGAAGGAAAGACAGACACTGCTATCATCTATAAATTACTGTTTTCCTTTAAAAAAATATGTTTTAAAAAGTATAATTACCATGTTGACTTTTAGTCAATGTAGTAATTCATGGGTGCAGTGAGACACATTGAAAATGTCATGGGCATTAAT